TTTTTTTTTCGATTATATCAAGGCAACAGCCCTAAAATTGAGTTCTATGGCATTGGTTCCAATCTTGCATTTTATCCTGCATTTCTCACAACCGGGAGGTTTCGTTGATTTTCTTGGATAACAGATATGGTATTGCAACAATCGCAACATATCTTATGTTAATGGGTATGCAGTCATCCAAGAAGATGTGCGAGCGTTGACGTTCTTCTTCATTTTTACCCAACTACACCGTTATACTGCGCCTTTTGAGAAAAGCATTAGAAATGTCATTTAGCTTAATGAGTTGAGATGTGGTTAAGATCACGAATATATCATTTGGAACTCGATTCATGTAATGAATAAGTTTCGATGAAGTTCTGCCTTACAGCATGCAAGAAAACAATGATGTGAAGAAAGCTTATGTCAACTGAATAAGCGTAAAATGTGCTTTAGAACAAAATTTGTGAACGATTTCCTACTTCACTATGCTATTATTTTTAGCTCGCAACCCGCGTCGCCGAAGAGAAAGAAACAATTTTAGGACAGGACGTTGGCTATACGGTCCGATTCGACGACGTTACTGATGATAGGACGAAAATAAAGGTAGTTTTTGTATAAAGTATATAAAAAATGTCTATCATGCTTATTTCTATTGCACGAGGGAGCAACCTCCGATTCATGCTTACACAATAAACTGTCGAAATATCCACTTTAAATTTATTGTTTGATAAAAGCTTGGAAAATGTTTTACAAACCTTTCCTTTGGCAGAAAGTAAGATGTGTTTGTCCTTCAAATAAATTGTTTTTATAGTTCATGACAGATGGAATCCTATTACGAGAGTTGCTCACAGATCCATTATTGTCCAAGTATAGGTGGGATCACAACTTAGAATTCTCATTAAGTCTATACAGTGCATGCTTATAGAGATCATCTTCTGCTTTAGTGTGATTATGATAGACGAAGCGCACGAAAGAACATGTAATTCTGACATTCTTCTCGGGTTACTGCGGAAAGTGCTGATTGTACGATCCGATCTACGCATCATCGTATCGTCAGCTACGCTTGATGCTGAGGTAATTGCTCTTTTCCAATCAGTGCTACGAGCTCAACATCACTTTCGATATTTTTAGCTCTTTCGAGATTTTTTCGAACTGAATGAAAGTGATGATCATAGTCGCGATACAGCATGCATCATGTCTGTGGAAGGACGGACTCATCCTGTTGCTATCTACCATACAAAAACGTCGGTAAATTCTTAATTGTTTTCCTATAGGATGATTATGCAATCAGCAATCACTTATTTTTGTTCTAGAGCAGTACCTGACTACATCAAAGCTACTGTAGACACCGTATTAGAGATCCACAAAAAGGAAATCCCAGGAGATGTTCTTGTTTTTTTGACTGGTCAGGACGAAGTTATTCAGGTAGGTGGTATATTTTACTTGACTCAAGGCTGTGGCTGTTCATTGGTTGAGAGGAATAGTTTAGGTCTGTGAAATGTTATCAGATGGTGCAGAACGTATTAGAAATGTTGACAAATTATGGATTGTGCCTTGCTATGGTGCTTTGCCACCGAGAGATCAAGTAAATATTCCAAATTTCAGCATAATCAAAAAGTAGCCTTTTCTATTTGCAGCTGAAAGCCTTTGACTCCACTCCACATGGAACTAGGAAGGTTGTAGTTGCAACGAACATTGCTGAAGCTTCCGTCACTATCCCCGGAATCGCCTACGGTGCACTAATGTCTTATTTTTGTTTACGAATGCAATATAACCGTTCAAAACAAATTCCAACCATGGTTTCTTGAGCAATTAATCGGTTGAATTGAGTTTGCATCCACTGATAACCCGTTAATTTTACAAATTTTAGTTGTCGATTGTGGTTTTGTAAAGCTACGTGCGATGAATCCTGACAATGGTATCGAAACTCTGATGCGATTGCCGATCTCCAAATCCTCTGCAGAACAAAGAGCCGGTAGAGCTGGTCGGATTCGTCCGGGCAAGGCGTATAGATTATACCCTGGTTTGTGTTCTGCTTCCTCTTCCTTTATTCTCAAATGTTTCGTTGTTATCTTTGCCTTCT